CTATTGTTTATCTACTATTGATGACAAACATTCAAGAAGCAATTTTCCACATCCTGATATAGGTACTGGTACTACTATACATTATCATGAAAATGCATAGAATCATATGTTTCAAAATGATTTAAGCATGTAGAATTCAATCCCACCATTTGATTCCATAACAGATAGGTTTGATCTAGAGACAAAATGAAGACCAATAAATGTTGGTGTACTTGAGATTGAGTATTCGACTCGTAATTATTGTTACATTAATCCGATGGAACTAGATTTACCAAGAAATCTTGACTAGAATATAATATCATCAGACATCTCTCAAAATAATAAAAACGATAGGCAGTGTCAATATAATATTGCATATTTCTTGTATGGAGGTGATATGCATTGGTGTAAAAATTTTGAACACATTTTGCTTCTTTTGGTATTCTTTGTTCCTATTGTAAGAAGTATAACACAGATTCACTTTCCAATGCCATCATGTAATTAACAAGAACACAACAAAAGGGTAGACAAATTTCGTTCACACACACCCATATTTCGCAGAAAAAGTAATTACTTAAGTCGTCTAAATAGTTAACTAGAACACTCGCCGATTTCTATGATTTTCGCTATTTTGATTTTTTCACCTAAATATTTACAAAATTGTGTTATCAGTCATTGTACATTGTACAGTGCCTAAACGTTGAGAAAATCACTCACGAATTCGGGATCCGAAAACATTCAGATTTCTACCAATTTTTTCTGTACAATAATGTATGAATCGAGTATATATCGTTACATACATCATTCCTCTATTCGACTCTTCATTAATTCATCTTGTTGGTTTTTCATGAAAAATAGTATTGTTGATATCAAACTACTTCTGGCACTAAAAAAATGATTTCGCTTCACAATAATTCATACAAATATTGGCTGAGGATGGGATGGTTGAACATAACATAATGTCCAATTTTCTTGGTAAATAATAGAGATATTTTGCAACACATTTAATTGCTATAGTTTACCTCCGGAACCATTCTTCAATGTCATTTAGAGCAAGACAACATTTATTTGGAGGGTTCTGTAATTTGACTGCGAGGAAAATAATGAAATCGGTCTGCTCGGATTATTAACTCAGAGGAGTTGTATATATTTCAACTTTGACAGCTTTTTGTTGACTGACTGAAGAGTGAAGGTCAGATGGAGTTTGAGCACTGGTTTCTGGTTTGGTATGGGTTTGAATTGAATTGGTTTGTGCAGTATGAGCAGCACAGTTTGTATCAGTCATAGATGAACGAATTAAATATCAAAGCAAAATATGAACTAAGCTAGTATAGTTTACACTGAAAATAACGTGCCCATAATAGAAATTGGAAACATTTTCACCCAAATCGTTAAGAAATCACAATTTTTACTGGCATTGCAGTGGTAGAATACCCAGGAGTGATCTTTTCTATCATTTATCTGTTTGCTACAGAGGTCACATGACTGAAAACCTTCTCCCTCTCGCGGATGCTGTTACAGAACATCTCTAATGTCAATCGAAAGTATCAAGTAGGTATGTATTTTGGTGAAATGGAGTAGGTAACGAAAAATTTTCTAGTTCGTAATACCTTTGCGAATCATCCTCTTGGCAGAAATATTTATCGATCGTCGGAAGCTAAGATGTGAGATAATAGTTCGACCCGCGAAAGGAGATATAATTTTATTCTCGAAACTGATGAAGAACGGTCTGACTGCACCTTTGATGGATTACAGTTTCAGGTCTATTGAGATAGGTATCACAGGGCTTCTTTCAGATATCGGACTATTCAACTAGGAATTTCGAAATATTAGCAGAATTTCATCGCGAATTCGTCTGAATGATTTTCCCAACACCTAATCGGTGAACTTGAAATTTCTACTATTTTATGTACAGAGATCTTTAATTAATTATTTATAACAGGATTCAGCGTTCCTACAAACCCTGGAAGTTTCTGTACTGAGACTCTTTCAGTTGGAGTGTATAAGCATTCAAAATTTTAATGGGTATAAGATACGCTAGAAAAATAATAAATTACCTACACGGAATTCGTTTCGTCTGATTCATTTCCTACTTTATTTTCCCAGTGTTTCTACTGGCAATGATTTCCCTGTTTCCTGAAGTCTTCGTGATTCACATATTTGTTTTCTCATTCTACCTGATGAATATTCATAGAATATTCTTTTCGGATATTGCGAATATTCATGAACATGCCAGGGATATACATATCAACTATGGAATATTCCCTGAATGTGCTGGTGGGGAAAATTTTGTATATTCCCGGAATATTACACAAGGAATATTCCCTATATATTCAGAATGTACCTATAATATTCTAGGAATATTCAGATAATATTCGGAATATTCCTGGAATAATACAGGAATATAAATAAATGAATATTCCGGGAATATTCCGTAATACATATTCATAATTAAAAAAAGCTGACCCAAGATGGGCTCGAACTCGGGACTTTCAGACTGTCAGATCAACGCCTTAACCACTTGGCCAGTAATCGAGTTGAATAATAATGTACATAACAATTTATTGAATTGCGTTGTTCAGAAGGGAACCATAAACACTTCCAGTTCCATATGGGCTCTTAACATGTACGATGATCTGATTGAGTTCTTTGATCACTATCAAAATTGTGGAGACGACTTTTTGTTTTTGATCCCTGGTAACATAACCACTTCACTTTGAAATACGATGGACTTCTACCACAGATTTCAAAATCAATGTTCAATACTCACATCTATAAAATTGTGATTGGTTAATTTTCATACTTTACAATTTCATTAAAACATATGGGAATATTATTGAAATATTCCATGAATATACAGGAACAGAATATTCAATTGGGAATATTCCTGGAATATTAATACCTGAATATTCCCTGCACTATCCAACTGGAATATTCTAGGAATATTCACTTCAGAATATTCCTTCTGGAATATTCCCTGTATATGCATTTTGGAATATTACTAGAATATTCACATTTGAATATTCCTTGAATGTTCCAGAAGCACGTATATATTCTAAGAATATTCGAAGGATATTCGGAATATATTCTTCCCTTTTAGCATATTTAGAGAATATTCTAGGAATATCCAGTGCTGTCTGGGTGTATAAATGATTTGTATATCAAAACACAATGGCCAGTGGTAGCGTGCCGTCCAAATATGCCAATGGTTGGGGGTTTGAACCCCAATAAACTACATAATCAACTATCTTTCTCCTTTTTTCATTCTTTCTACGAAGTTAAAAATACTGTGGAGGCATTTACAGATCAGGTTTATTCAATTTGCAAGTATGTTCAAATAGTAGTTTCGATATACTCATATAGCTAAATTAACTACGTGATAGTGTTTAAGTATCAATTTGAAGGAGTTAATACCATTTGGCCCTAATACTTCGATGAAAAACTGCATTGAATACTCATTTTGAAATGAAATTGGACTATGGGCAATCAAATACTGTGAATGTATTCTTAAATCATTTATTTTTAATTTTAATGATTGCAAGATCAAAAAAGGGACAGGAAACTGGAGCTGAATACTGTTGATTATTGAATATCGTCCGTTGTCTTATCAGAATGAGCTAAATTCTTATGAAAATCGTGAAAAATGCTTGGAATCCAGGGTAGTGAAGACACTGTGGGTGGTTTCAATTCTTGATCGAAATTTCATTTGCTTGCTCACGAATTTGAGATAAAAGCTCAGGAAAAACAACACGCCTGCCATTTCTTTCAAGATCGACACATTCAAACGTGGTTACCTCAAAATGTGATTGGAAATACAATATAATACACTCATATTTTCTCTGCGTATACAGTGTGTCCCACTTACCATGCTCACCATGGGTATCTTTTTAACGGTGAGAGATACGAGGTCGGTTGAATGACACCAAAATGTGGAGTTTGTCAAGGCCAACTATAATGTGAAAAAATATTTAGATAACATCTATTCGTTTTTGTTTTATACGCAAAAAACAGATTTTGATCATTTTCATGTCTCCTCCGTAACTTCTTTATTTATGAAAATATTCGAATAGGAATTTCACTTTCTCATGGCTGTTTTTCAAAGTGATTTCGAAAAAAATACGAAATTTATACCAACTCTTCTAGAATTTGAGATATCAGCACCAACTTAAGTTTTTCAAATGTAGGTCACAGCTCACTATGGCTCAGTTACAAATAACTTTTTTTTCTCTCACAGATGATATGTCGCAGTACTAGTTTTGTGTTGATAACAACGGAGTTATCCTGTGAGAGAAAAAAAAGTTATTTGTAACTGAGTCATAGTGAGCTGTGACCTACATTTGAAAAACTTAAGTTGGTGCTGATATCTCAAATTCTAGAAGAGTTGGTACAAATTTCATATTTTTTTCGAAATCACTTTGAAAAACTGCCATGAGAATGTGAAATTCCTATTTGAATATTTTCATGAATAAAGAAGTTACGGAGGAGACATGAAAACGATCGAAATCTGGTTTTTGCGTATAAAACAAAAACAAATAGATTCTATCAAAATATTTTTTCACATTATAGTTGGCCTTGACAAACTCCACATTTGGTGTCATTTAACCGACCTCGTATCTTTCACCGTTAAAAAGATACCCATGGTGAGCATGGTAAGTGGGACACACTGTATAAGTACTGATTGAATATTTTGTATTCCAGAGTATAGCCCCAGTGAATCAAAACGAAACGATTTCCGTGAGACCTAAACAACCTCTGGTCTCCAGAGAATTCCGCGAAAGCACTAACCTTGAGAACAGGTACTAGCAATCCTAATTCGTAAATCACAAATCTAAGAAACCTTATAGCTACTTATTGGTCCGAGTCTAAAGAGTACGAAACGTATAAAAAAATCCATAGTTTGCTCGCGAGGATACCGTGCGATAGAAGAGCGGGAGAGCCCTCGTTCGATAACGGTCGCATTTTCGACCGTCAGACTGTTGTCACTCTGTCAACCTCCACGTAGCGCACGGAATTGTCGCTGTGTCAGCTGTAGCTGTAGATGCCCTTTTCGTCGATGATGGCGGTGTCGGAGGATAGGCTCTTGAGGCGAGTCTGGAGGATAGATCTGGGCCTTCGGCGACATGTTTTCCACAAGATGAGTATCGTTAGAATACTGAAAGTCAACACATAGTTATTTCAACTGGGAAAAAATCTAAATCATAGATAAAGTTGTGGAGATGACTTGTTTCTTCATCTTAAACTACATCACTCCTCTTTGAGTTACAATAGTCTTCTTCCAATGATTAAAAGTCTAAATACTCAAAGTGGAATGAAATGGTATGAAAAATGAACGAGATACTCGAAGTCATTCCCACAATCTTCTTCCCTATACAGGGAGACATAGAGAAAAGTACATTGCAATAGTGCCACACAATAGAGGACACTAAACTAAGAGAAAAGTTCTCATGAACACGGATTCGCAAGGCCTTCGGTTAAAAGATACGAGGTATTGAATTTAATTTTTTTTTCAATTTTTTTGCATATCTCTCCCCTATAGCACACAACGTCCTGGGGACGTTCCTATTTGGTACAATTCAAGTCCAAATGTCCCGGACCAAAAATAAGTGTCCTTAAGACGTCCCATCCCGTATATCTCATGCAATGTCCGAGCAAGGACGTCCACGGAATGTCCCAGCAGGTATATCATTCCAAATGTCCTAGAAATAGCATCCCTTAGACGTCTCAGGTGGTACATATTGTAGAATGTCCATGCAAGGTCGTCCTTGGCATGTCCCTGATGAGATATGATTTTAAACGTTTCTTTAGGGACATCCATCGGATGTCCCGAGTAGTACATATTCTGGCATAACTTCAGATCTTATATAATGTTCTTCAAGACAACCATGAAATGTCCCTGATGGTTCACTCCTTCAAATATCTTTGGACATCTTTGGGGAATCTTTTCAGGATCTATTGCAAAGGTAGCAGAGTGACGTCCAATTGACGTCATTTTTTGGTCATAAAATGACGAAGTGGACGTCCAAAGATGACGTCTGAGAGACCCTATAATGACGTCAAAATGTCACAGCCATATGACGTCATACTTTGACGTCATAATGACGTCGCAGAATGACCAATAAAGGACAAAATAAAAAAAATTAGGAGGTTTATATATATACGGTATTATTTGTACATGATAATACATACAAACCTTTGATGACATTCATTTTGTAACTATACGTTATTGTGGTAACTTGGTTGATGGTCCTACCGGGCAGTCCTGTTGAATCCTATGAATCTCTATATGACAATATCGTAAGCTACTCGTATTTGTACCTAAAATTATGTAGCGAGCGTCGGCGAGGTGTAAGCTGAATAAACTTATTTTTAGCTAAACTATCCATTTCTGAGAAATCCTCTGCAACAGGTCGATTTTATTTTCGATTCGCCACATTCGAAAGTAAGAATCATATATATACAGGGTGATCCACGTTTAAGTTAAGACGTCCTCGGCAATTTTTTCAATTGGAAACAATAATAACTTAAGTATGAGATACATTCAATTTTTGCAATATCCATGGGAATCTGAATTTTAAAAAATATTACACATAGGGTTTGTATACAGTGTGTCCGTTAAATTGAGTCATCTTGCGTGAAGTAAATAAAGTAGCCAATCAATGTACTTATAACCATACAATTCCTTGCTGAGGAATCTCCCAAAATAGGTCGATTTTCATTTTGAGAAAAAATTGAATATACAGGGTGATTCAAGTAAGAGTTACAACGTCCGCGACAATTTTTTCAAAGGAACACCCTATGAATTATTCGATTTTTGGAGTCTCTATGAAAAGCTGGACTCAAAAATATATGAGTCTGTATACAGTGCGTTTGTTGGATTAGGTTCTTTTGCGAATTTGCTAATAAATTTGTTGAAAATTAAAAAAATATTTTTTTTTTCAGAGAATAATGCTCGAAGCCGTAGAATTTTATTCTCATTCAAGCTTTATCTCATATTAAATCAATATATACAGAATGATCCGTGTAGGAGAAATTACGTAATCTTTATATTTTAATGGTGATCTAATTTTACGAGAGAACTGAATTTAACGAACGCCCTGTATGCAAACCCTTTGTGTGATATACATTTGATTACGAAAATTCAATAATATAATATCCGTTTGAAAAATGTGTCGTGTACGTCATAATACAAACGTGTATCATCCTGTATATTTGATGATTCCTCCGTATAAATGTCGAATTAGAAATAAAAGCCTCTCCTGTTTTCTCAGAAATATATGAGATAGATAGATATTGGATAATAATGAATTTATCCACTAGGTACTTCACGCAAGAGCATCTAATTTATTGGATGCATACAATCCACATGATTGTGTTAAACATTTCAGAATTCCGCTTCCCATGGTTATTCCAAAGATTGAGTAATATAATAATATAAGGTGCTCTATTTAAAAAATTGTCGTTATGGTCATAACTCAAACGTGGATCACCATGTATGTATATTCAATTTTTCTCATGAATATATGGCAAATTGAAAATGAAAATCGACCGTTTACAGAAGATTCCTCAAAAATGCATAATTTGGCTGAAAATAAATTTGTTCATCAGTACTCACGAAAACACTGTATATATATACAAACACACATTTAGTACGTACAATTAACAAACGATGAAAAAGTAAGAAAGCGACTGATTTTTTTTTATTTGGTCGGATATACGACTTTGTAGGGACGTCATTAAGACGTCCAATATTGAACGTCAATAAGACGTCATGAAATATGACGTCATTTTTAGGTCCCTCTGAAGTCGAGGACGTCATTGACCAATAATGACCTGAAAAAGACGTCATTATGACGACATTCCACTAACATGTGCTACCTGGGTGGGGACCTTCTACGGACCATCAACTCAACTGGATGTCCACATCAGTTATGCAAGATTTGGTCCTAGAGGGAACCAGAAATATTCAAATTCAAGAATAGTTCGTACGTCGGTGGGACATCCTATGGACATATAATTCATATCTTCCAGCGATGCTGATAGGCCCAGATAGCACAAATTCCTTTTGAGGCCCTTCTGAGGCGTTCACAATCATGTCCTCAGGACGTCGAGAGCGAGCCTGAGGACATTCTCAAGACGTCCTCCTGTTACCATTCTCTACATACTAATAACGTCTCAGAAAATCCCTATAAAATCTTTTGAGACAACCTCAGGACATCATGGTAACAACTTGAGGCGGTTTTTGATGATGTTTCAAGGAGGTTCAAGATTTATGGGAGAATATTATTCGTATACAGAATGAGTCACTATAGTGTGTTCTCCTCCGATATTAGCCAAACCGTCAGATATATAATATGAAAATTCAAGTACAACAGTAATAGGGTTTCATAAGAACAATCACCTAAAATTGTTTTCATATCTATAGGGTGTTCGAATTCCAAGATATCGGTTGATGATTGGTTTTTTTCAATGGAACACCTTGTATATTATTGCATTTTTGAGTTTTCCCTGAAGAGTTGATTCCATCAATGCATCACACTTGGTGTCTAGTGGGAATTATTACAGAGATATAGGGTGTTGACAATTGAGATTCTTCAAATGTAGGATTTTTTGTGTCGAAACTATTCATTAATGGTCAAAACGGCTCACACGTTCCTGTCATAACTTTTGATTAGCTATCTACTGATATTTATTTGGAACATATACAATAAGCTGATCAGTATTCTGAATGTTAACCCACCCTCTATTTGTTCCGATTGAATGTCAGTAGATAGTAAATCGAAAGTTTACAAGGAAATGTGAGCCGTTTTGACCAATATTGAATAGTTTCCACAAAAAAAATCCTAAAATTGAAAAATCTTGTTTTTGAACACCCTATATCTCTGTAATCATTCCCGCTAGACCCCAAGTGTGATGCATTGATGGAATCAGCTCTTCAGGGAGAACCTAAAAATGCAATAGTATACAGGGTGTCCCATTTGGAAAAAAACAATCATCAGTCAATATATCTTGGAATTCGAACACCCTATACAGATATATATGAAAACAATTTAATGTGAAAGTTCTCATGAAACCCTATAACTGTTGTACTTGAATTTTCTCTATTTATCTGATGGTTTGGCTAATATACAATAAGGATAACACACTATATATTGACTCACCTTGTATTATGCAAATGATAATTTCTTCAAAATAATATGGATCTCATGATATTTGCAAAATTTCCTTCTATTTATAATAGGTTCAAATGAAAAACCAAATGAAAAACTCACATTCTATTATTTATAACTTATTCTAAAAAATTTCAATTTCCTTTTCAAAGAAATGTATTTCAGCTTCTTGTTGAGCACTACAAGAAGTTATTGCCTATTGATAGGTATATTTCTCCATGTTGTTTTTGATTTCTGAACTCTGGACATTCCTGATGCAGAATAATCAACTGGAAGTTGAAGCCTTCATGCAATATTTTATAGATTCTGAAGAAGCAAAACTATCTTGGAATGAAAATATCATCAGGTTTGTGTTTTGCATAACCTTCTGAAACAAACAATGTATTAATATTTCATGTCCAGTACTTACTATATCAATGATATGATTTATGTAGTTATAGGTACCAACCATTATTATTGAATCTACTGAAAGTTCAAGTCTGCATATGTACAATCTTTCATAATTTCCAAAGAAGCCAAAATATCTTGGAATAAAATATCTCTGCTCTGATGATATCATCATTTTGTGTTATCAATAACCTCCTGAAACAAATAATGTACCTATTAATATTTCATGTTCCAGTCCCTACTATATCAATGATTTGATTTAGGTACCTACCTTTATTGAATATACTGAAAGTGCAAACATGCATATGCAATCTCACATAGATTTCGAAGAAGCCAAAATATCTTGGAATGAAACATCTCTGCTCTCTGATGACATCATCAATCTTGTGTTCTCAATAACTTCATCTGAAACAAATAATTAACCTATTAACATTTCATGTCCAGTACCTACTATATCTATGATTTGATTCAGGTACCTACCTTTATTATTGAATTCATACTGAATGTTCAAGCTTCCATACAATATTTTATAGATTCCGAAGAAGCAAAGCTATCTTGGAATAAAACATGTTTGCTATGATGATATCATCAAGTTTGTGTTCTCAATAACCTCCTGAAACAATAAATAATGTATATGAATGTATCAATATTTCATGTCCGGTACTATCAATGATTCTATTTAGTATTTACTCACCATTGTTTCTTGCTACCTGAGAGAAATGTCATCAACAGAGATTATCATCCTTTTGTTATTGTTATCTTTTAATTCTGTGCAATAAGTTCCAATCATTTTGTGAAATAGAAATTTGATGAAGGTATTCAATGAATACTCTAATAATTTTGATATAATCATTAATATATTAGACTGTATCTTGAACAAATCATGACTATCATGAGACATAACCTCAATTCTAGTTCTTCTTTTTCTTCCTTTTGTCTTCGATGACACGTTATTTCATGGAATGTCATCTGAAGACGTCCGTAGGCACGAAATTCTTTACATCCTCAGGCTGTCACTGAAAGAACTCATTTAGGACAATTACAGCGCTAAATTTACGCCTGATGATGTTCTTAGGTTGTAGAAAATAGAACGTCCTCTCCAGGCGTTTGGCGACACATTGAGGATGACCTTAGGCGAGTGTGTGCTATCTGGGGGTTGTCTTACGGATTTCCTAAGGATGTCCTCCGTAGTGCTTGATGAGGAATACTGTAGGATTTAGATATTCGATAGTTGTCCCAGGGACATCCCTCAAGGACGTCCCTAGTTGGTCCTCAAGTGGGACATTCGTCCGTCCCACAGAAGTCCAATGGACGTCCACGGTACCAGATTCGAACGTCCTCTGGACGTCCTGAATGTCTCGACACGACGCCCTAAGGATATCCATGGAACATAATTGTGTTATTAGGGCTAGCAAGAGATGCAAGAAATGAATAAAATGTGAAATACAGAGGTAATTTATCATGCTAAATTCAAATATGATCTGAGTTTTGTGATGACTAATAGAGGGCGCTACATACAGGGTTTCATCCCTATGGAATGAGTCGTTACATTTTAGCTATACTCTGTATGTCAATTTGCACTGAAAAAAATTATTATCCCTTCTTTTATACAAGAAAGGTTAATTTTGTCCAAGTCGCTAGAAGCAATGGTTTCAGTACAAATGCATCTAAAAGCCGACTATGCACGCAAATTATTCAAAAAGCGCCATGATAAATAACAATTGATTAATGTGTCATCATGACACTTGTAAAACTAATGTGATAACTGTTTGCGGTATTGAAATGTGATTGTTGAAGTATTTATCATTGTTTCTGCGAATGAATAAGAAGCAATTTAAATTCAACATGTTCATGGAAACTTTTTTCTTATTTGGCACTTTGCATTGTTCTTTTTTCTATGTCACCCTGTATATGAATATGAATGTTTGTCTGTATATGGTTTAAAGAATCGTAAACGGCTTTACCGATTTCACTCTAAATCTTTCTTGGTTGGGTTTGTTATTGTCAGGAGAAGGTTCCTATGAGAGAAAAAATTGAGAAATTCAAGATGGCGGATCCAATATGGCGAACGAGTTTTGTAATTATAATCAGATTCCATTCAAAATTGATATCTGAGGATTTAAGCGGTCAGAGATTATGTTTCTTTCGTCAAAATTGGAAGATTCGAGATGGCGAATCCAATGTGGTGAACGAGTTTCGAAATTAAAATTCGATTCTATTCGAAATTGGTATCTTGGGGTTGTTGCGGTTGGAGATTATGATTCCTTTGTCAAAATTGGAAAATTCAGGATGACGAATCCAATATGGTGGACGAGTTTTGTGATTATGATCCGTTTATATTCAAAATGGGTGTCTGGGGGTTTTTGGGGTATAGGATTCTGATTATTTTGTCAAAATTGGAGAATTCAAGATGGCGAATACAAATTGGCGAACGAGTTTTGAAATAAAAATCCGATTCTATACAAAATTCGTGTCTTGGGGTTTTTGAGATCGGAGATTATGATGCTTCTGTCAATATTGGAAAATTCAAGATGGCGGATCCAATACGAGTTTCAGAAATTATGATCCGATTCTATTGAAAATTGGTAGCTTGATGTTTTTGGCTTCGAATATTATGATTCTGTCATCAAATTTTGGAAATTTAAGATGAGAGATCGAATGTGATGGTTTTGGTGATGTCATGATCATGTCTAGTAGATTTCAATTGGAATTTGAAAAAGTTCTTTCATAGTGAGAATAGGTCAATATTTCATTTCTATATATAAAACTATGAATATTGAAATATATATTGCTATTGTATATTGCATAATAATTCTAATATACACCTTAGTAGTAAAGAATATCATAACATTGGTTAATCTCGATTTTCGGCAAAACTACTAGTCCTATGGAAATAAGTTGAATAACAAAGTTGTAGATCATAGAAAGACCTATTACTTTTTTCACATAACCTCACAATTTTCAAAAAAATTTGTGAAAACTTACCTCATTATGTCCAAAATACAATGTAATTTTCTGATTTGGAAATTTCTTTTCACCTTCTTTCAACTTAATATCGATAAAGCATCCTTATTTTCAGTGAAAGATTCTCGCCCCGAAATAAAACTGCTTTTTCAAAAAAGGCGGTGGGTTTTATGTTCAATGAAATCTCTATACTTTCTTATGGTCTGGAAGATATATCCATTTGTAAGGTAAATGTTCTCAGATAATTTAAGGAAGTGAAACTCGAATCCGAAACTGTTTTTTAATCATTATGTACAATTTCGAGCTATTTAATAATATTAATTATGATTACTCAAAAAACGTAAGATTCCAAGTTATATAGATGAGCGAAAATAATTCTTCTAAATAATGAAGGGGACTCCATCCAAGAAATGTGACTACTGCTTTCTCGTTTCTTTGCCTTTCCTGAGAAAATTTACCCCTGTTGTGTATACCGGGTGACACAGGAGACATGTAGCAGCTTGTAGTTTTTTTATTTGAAGAGATAAAATTTTGAAATTCACATGGGTATATAATAAATAGTAGCCTCGATAGTAGCGCACTTTACGAATTTAACGACAATTTTTCTTAACTACCTGTTTGACCATAAGTGACCCCAACTTTTTTTTTTAATGTCACCCTGTACATTTCTTCAGTCTCTCTTTTGCCTTGAAATTCTCTATCCAACCATGTATCACAAAGTGTCATTTATTCCTTAATTCGCTGTTGAATTGCTTTTTATTCAAAAAGAATAAGTTGGCTGTGACATGAATTCTATGATATATCGACACTTGGTAGGCTTTGAAATTTAAATATCATTACTAAATCGATATTATTCAAAATGTTTTGATATTCTGATCAATGTCTGCAGGTTGTCAATAGCTTGTTTTAGTCAAGATGAAAACCTTCGAAAATAACTCATGATATTGAGGAATCTAAGATAGGAACATATTTTTTCGAATTCAGCTACTCGTACACAAATTATCTGTCTTTTATTTTCGCCATGTACCTACCACATGATCTTCCTATTTGGAATACTATAACTAAAATAGTTCCTCTTATACGATGATCCACAGGGCTATCAGTCTATTTTTTTTATAATTATTTCACTTAGTAGGCGGTGTACCCACACAAAATGTTTTATGTGTTTGACAGTTAATCGATTGCATCAATAATTCTTCTTCTTCATTTGTGTGTTGATTAAAATTGCATATCATCAATAGAGACGGAAAATGTATTCATGAAACGCAAAAGTCGATATGTTCAAAATTGTATCTCTTCAAATAAAAAAACTACAGGCTGCTACATGTCTCCTGTGTCACCCAGTATATTACTACATAGGAAAGTAGAGATTTCAAGGAATAGGAAGCCAATTTAAGGATGCAGATATTTTTGACGCGAGAATTTTCGATTGAAAATTATGGTGTTTTCGATATCAAGTCGATATAAGGCGATAACATGCTCATTTCAGATCAAAAAAATAACAGTGTATTTGGGACAAGAAGTTAGTTTTCATCAAATTTCGTTTTGAGCAAAACGTGTAGTTCTATGAGTTAGAGATCTGTTTATCACCTATTTGCCATTCAACATTTTTCCATAGGGCTTATAGTATTGCCGTAATTCGAGATAAACCGTTTTTCACTACTGAAACCTTACCTCCCCCCCTACCACTTTTCGACCTCAGATCGCCCGTAATTTGTTTTCCCTTCCTTGATCTGCCCATCAACGTTTCCTGACAAATAAAATATTGCACTGAATGCTGTGCTGTCTCCGGCGTTTTGTGATTTACCTGGAAACAATGACCCCCAAGGCACCGAAAAAAAGGTAGACGCTGGCAATGAGGTATAAATATTGGGAAACAGTTCTTGAAGCACTAAGCAATCGTCTGTGTCCTCGGAAAGGCATCTCAGATCAACACGGTGAAAAGAGCAGAGAAGCGTTGCGTTTCTGATCTGCGCATTAACGTTTGCTAACAAATGAAGAGATAAACTGCTGTTTCCGGCCTTTTGTGGTTTACCTGGAAACAATGACCCCCAAGGCGCCGAAAAAGAGGTAGACGGGGGGCAGCTGGAAGAGCAGCGAGCAGTGCGTCAGCGCCTCGTCGATGCCCGAAGGGCAGTCCTCGAGGCCGTCGCACCACACCGAAGGGTCTACGCAGGCGGCCAGTTCGGGGCACAAGAACTGACATTCGTCGGGATGCATCATGAACAGGCCGAGACCATTGGGCGGGTAGTCACGCCTGAAGAAAGAAATGATGTAGCGAAAAAACATATTATAATCTATTCTACATTTTTAAATCATCTTTTATATATTCTCTGGTAGAAGTTCATCGTTTCTCAAAGTGGAATACAGTAGTGAATACTGAATAATACACAAGGAGATGATTTCGTGTATTTTTCAGTATTTATCTCTCATATTCTTTGGCTTGAAAGGCCATAAAATTCAATATATTTGTATCAACACATACCCGAACCAAAAGTACTGTACAATAACAATTCACTTTATATTATAACGAATTCGTATGAGTTTTCAAAAGGAATATATATACCTATCTATCAAGCTATGATTTTGTTCTGTGAATGTCTTTGAAGTGATCATTCTGGAGAGCTCCACTTCACACTCTTCAGGACCATATTTGCAACTGAAGGTGTTATCACTACTGCAAAGTTTATCCAGAAATGGTCCATGATCAAATAAGAGCTTGTATGTATTACAAAACTATACCTAGATGCATTCGTTTCGAATTTTCGCAATGAATCGATTACATTTCCATCGTCCCTTATCTTTGAGTCCAAATCAGTAATATATTATCAAAAATCCGAATCTCAACTGTATAATTACAAATTTATTGGCTCAATTCATGGCAGATCTAACCTCGAACCTGCTATTCCTAGCTGTTTATTCTAATTGTATTAAATCTGAACATAAGAACTAGAAACTAGACTATCATCATCTCGCAAAAAGTTAGTGAACTATATCTTCGCGAATTCATATGAAATGTGTACAGACATTCATTCTACCACTTAGTTATTCATCATAAAATATCTCGAAAGGAACAGTAGGTAATTTTATGCAAGAAACATCCCTATCTTGGAAACCCTGTATACCTCGCGAACCAAGCGAGTTGGAAGTCTGGACACATGTTCATGCATTGTACAGACCTATTATAATATGAATTATATCCCCTCAGATAATAACAAAATAACCTGACCAATGTTATTACACAGATGGCTAAACTGAAGCTAATGTTTATTGCTGCTTGCCTTCAAGTAAGCTCTCTTTAGAGTCAAAGAAACATCCCAACTATACTCCATGCAGAATTTTAGGCAGGTTCGCAAGTTGATAAATACATTCTCAGATCGCCAAGTAGCTTCCCTATCTCTCGACTTGTATCAATGCAGTTCTAAATCGATATGACCCAACTGGGTAGACAGCGGAGCAACTCCTGTCTGGACTTCCAGCTACTCAAAAATAAGAAAAAATGAAGTATCGGATACTGTTTGCACAATATGGTTCGAGTTTACACTATACATTGAACCTTTCGATTAACGTCAAAATGCATGGATATCATATGGGAGCTGAATGGAAAATTCCTCGAAACTCCCATGACCCCTCTATACTCCAGACTTCACCACTGCATGCATGGTATCAATAATAAACTCTGATTGCTCACCTACCACATTTTCTCCTTGTTATGCAGCAGGAAGATTCTGGTCCTCATTATTTGCTTTTAAATAAATCGTATATATTCAGGGTCACACCTAAGTGCACCTTAACTTCCTTTTTTGAATAGGAACGGTCAGTAATAATACCTAGTTTGATGAAATCTTCTCGAACTTCTACGGAGATATGGCCAGATAAGTATTCGAATAATAAAAGGGAAAGTTATATCGACCTGTAGATACTACTCCTTTTTCGCTTGTCGTTGACCTTCAGTTGCCTTCTAGTAAGAGGACTTTTCAGTTACCAGTTACTCCCCATATCCTCAACTCTGCCATTGAGGGACATTCACTCATTTGCTAACAGAAAAGCATAAGACCAAAGAATGTAGACTATGCACCTTTATATGCAAGGCGATCAGTTGTCTCATTACTTTCGATTCCTGTATTGCCTGATACCAACATGAGTGTGATTTCATTATCTTCTTCCAGTTGCTCTCCATGTAATCTTTGAAGTAAAAACCAATAGATTGATCATGGATTCAAAGAGCAGGGTGTATTTTCCAATGTTTCTGATATTTATTCTTTATTATTTAGAGCAGAGAATTGAACTATTGCACATCATCTTCAAAACAAACTTGCATATCTTCCTCCTACCTTCTGGCCAATTCCAACCACATAATCGAATACTCCCCCTCCTGCCTCCCGTAGAACTCCACAACCACCGTCTTGGATAGCTCCAGGCCGAGACGGTCGATCTGAATCCTTTCCAGGGCGACTCCGTCGACCGCCTGGTCGCCTCTGGGGTGCCAGCCTTCGGAGAAGACCTCCACCAGGTGGGCCCGAGAGTAGCGCTCACTGGGGCATACTTGGGCCGTGTACAGGGCAGTGTGGATCTGAAAAATTCAGGTAACTCCTTTATTTGAATGATTTTTAAATCTTAGTGACTTTAGCGTCAGTAGCTTCAGTATCGATCACAACAGAGTGGGTAACCGAAATAGAAGCAGACTGAATACATTCCAGGAAATGAATTAATCAAAACATGCTGAAATATATAGATTTTAAATTCATGAGGAAGCAATTTCTATTGCTTCCTGGGCAGCTCCTAGTCCAGCCTATATTTGAATGATTTCAAAATGTAAGCGACTTTAGCGTCAGTGCCTCCTATATCGACCACTACAGAGTGAGCGAACCTTATCGAAGAAGACTGAATAACTTCCAGGAATTAGATTGATCGAAAAAAACACTGGAATAAGTCGATAACAAATTCATGAGGAAGACATTTCTATTGCATCCTGGGTAGCTTCAGACCCAGCCAGTCAATTAGAAACCTCTCCAGGGCAGTGTGGATCTGAAAAATACAGGTAACTCCTTCATTCGAATGATTTTAAAATCTTAGTGACTTTAGCGTCAGTAGCTTCAGTATCGATCACAACAGAGTGGCGAACGAAATAGAAGCAGACTAAATACATTTCAGGAAATAGATTAATCAAAACATGCTGGAATATATAGATTTAAAATTCATGAGGAAGCCATTTATATTGCTTCCTGGACAGCTCCTGGCCCAGCCTATAATTGAATGATTTTAAAATGTAAGCGACTTCAGCGTCAGTGCCTTCTGTATCGACCACTACAGAGTGGGCGAACAAAATCGAAGCAGACTGAATAACTTCCAGGAATGAGATTAATCAAAAAAACGAAGTTGATCACAAACTCATGAGCAAGTTATTTTTATTGCATCTTGGGCAGCTCCTGGCCCAGCCAGTCAATTTGAACCCTCCCCAGAAGAAAGCCGTCGACCACCTGGCTGGCTCTGCGTTGGCATCCCTTGGAGAAGTCATCCACCAAGTGAGCGCTGGAATACCCAGGCAACCAGATGACGTTTCAGTGACGTCTTTTTTACGTCAGTTGAATGACCAAGATGACTTCAAGAGTTGACGTCGTATGACGTCGATTATGACGTGAATAAGTCACAGCCCAATGACGTCATATCACTCACGTTTATTGACGTCATTCACTCACGAAACTGTGACGTCAGACTGACGTTGAAATTTGGAGATGACACGTAAAGAAGGTTCCTCGAACATGGTGTGATAATCACCACTGACCTCTGATGACATATAATATTGATAATGCATTGTTGAGTCTGCTTGGTGGTCCTTCCGGTGACATCATGTCCATACAATCGTCTATTCAGCAGCGCTATCCTTCAGAACGCATCTCCATCAGGATGGAATCAGTTACTCGTATTTGTTTGAAAAATTATGTAGTTTGTGTCGGCGAGATATAAGCAAACCAAGAATAGTTTGATAGCAATGGAAAGCATGTTGGCGAATTCAGCTTCACTTTGTTGAGTAACGTATATTCATGCATTATTTGTCACCTAACAAAAGTCTGAATAGTAAATTTTTGAAAAATTTTGTGAATGAAGAAGCTCACCAAATTGGTACGTTACACCGACGTGATCTGATTGCCGAAAAAGATGATAAAATTAAATATTTAACAAAACTCAATGAAAGATTGGAGGAAAATTATAAATTAAGAGTTTCCAATATGATTGATGACAATAATATAATGGGAACCCTAGACCAAATGAAGAAAACAATTGAAATCATTCATGAAAAAAATGAAATAAAAGTAAATTGTTTAAGCTATTCTGATGTTCTGAAAACAAATTATGTATCTCCACCCAAGCAAAATGAACAGACCCTACTATTGAAACCAAAAAATAATCAGTCATCTTCAAAAACAAAAGAGGACTTACAAAAAAATGTAAACATTAGCAAACTTGGTATAGGAATACATTACATGAAAGAAATGCGTAATGGCAATATGATTATTAAATGCAAGGATAAGGAAGATATTGAAAAAGTCAAACAAGAAATTATTGAAAAATTACCCTCTGAATATGATGCAGAAATAAAAAAATTAATCAAGCCTAAAATTAAAATACCAAATATAAAATTGGAAAGCAATATAACGAAAGAAGAATTAGAAAAAATTATTATTAAACAAAATTCAATGATTCAAGAAGGAGATAATTTTCATATTGAATTCATGAAATATTTTGATAGATCAAAAACACATACAATATTTGCTGAAATTGATGGAAGACTAATGAACGAAATCATGGCAAGTAATTATGGTAAATTATTTGTTGGCTGGCAGAATTTGACAGTATATGACAACAACATTATATCACAGTGCAATAAATGTTGTGGATTCAATCACAAAATTAATAAGTGTAAAAATGAAATAGTATGTCCCCGTTGTGGTGGATCACATGAAATTACATTTTGTCAAAGCAATGAACTGAAATGCTTTAATTGTGTTAATTCCAATAACCGCTATAAAAAGAATATTGTGTGAATCATTCAGCAAAAGACGAAAAGTGTCCCACTCACAAATTTCATCTGGATCTTCTCAAATCTCAGATTGATTATAACTATTGAAATAAAACATCATTATGAATAACAATCAGTCTATAAAATTATCGGAAATAAATTCGATAAATGATGTTCAAGTTTATGACATCAAGAGAATGAAGATTTTATATCTCAATTCAAGATCACTCAAAAATGCAATGGATGAACTAGAAATCATCATCAGTGAATTGGAAGTTGCAGCCATCGTAGTAAGTGAAACATGGATGAATAAGGAAGAGGAAAAATATTTCAATTTCAAGAATTTCAATGCAGTCTATGCTAGTCGTGAAAAAATAGGAGGTGGTGTTGGAATTTTCATCCATGAAAATCTAAATTTCGAAATTATTCAAAAAGAAGAAACCATTTTGACGTATTCAGCAATCAAAATTAAATCCCCAGAAATATTACTTTGTGGCATTTATCGGCCGCAAGATCTGAATATAAATTATTTTCTGAATTTCATGGATATGACGCTTGAGAATATCATTAAGTTCAAATGTGTAAGTTATTTCTTTGGTGTTATGAACGTTAATTTATTATCGAATAGCAATGAATCCAAAGATCTAGTAGATATTTACAAATCCAGAAATTTCAAAATTTGCAATGAAAATATTCCAACTAGAAACTTATCACTTATTGACCATTTCATCACTAATTCAGAAAAAGTTCTTGATGTATTTGTTATTAATAACTCACTGAGTGACCACAAATTTTACTTGACTTGCATACTTGATGCAAACCCAAATAATAGAAAATATGTGAACAAATTGATAAAAACATAAGAAGTGAATTGGAAATTCTCAATATAAATATTGATAACTATGATGATATTGATGAGGCATATGGTAAACTATTGGACATTTTCAATACATGTCTCATTTCGAGAATAATTAGAATAAAAAATGATTCCAAACCATGATTCGATAATAACGTGAGCACATTAATCAAATTAAGAGATAAATTTCATTATAAAAGAAAAATATATCCTAATATAAATTATTTTGATGAGCAATTCAACTTATATAATAAACTGGTGAAAAAAACAATAAGAGATACAAAGAAAAAACTTTATGATAATCATTTCTTCAATAGTACCCCCAAATCCGTTTGGAATGGTATCAATTCACTGCTGTATAATAAATCAAGAAATAAGACAGAAAATATTGAATATATTACAGTGAACGATATTAAAATTGAAAATGTTCATGAGATGACTAGTGCAATCAATCACCATTTTATCGATGTTGGTACAAATTTATCATCAAAAATTACTTTGATTTCTGACACAGTAGTAGATCATTCAAGCGTTTTATCTATGTTTCTAAGACCCCTCAGCATTTCGGAAATTGAAGATATTGTTGACAACTTGGATGTACGAAAGTCTTGTGGATTTGATTATATAACTAATAATATTGTGAAGGTAGTCAAATATGAATTGGCTCCTATATTGTTGAAAATTATCTCAAAATCTTTTAAAAGTGGAAGTATTCCTGACAAAATGAAAATTGCGAAAGTATTGCCTACATACAAAACTGGCAGGAGAGATGATATGAATAATCACAGACCCATTTCTGTTCTCCCGGTTCTTTCAAAAGTTATAGAAAAAATTATGACTTATCGTCTTCTTGATTTCCTGGAAAATAACAATTTGCTATACAGTGGTCAGTATGGATTCCGTAGATCGAAAGACACTGAAGTAGCCGTTATGGATGTTATTTCAGATATCCAATTACGAATAGATAAAAATGATCAATGCGGTTTATTGTCATTAGATCTATGCAAAGCTTTCGATACTGTCAACCATAACATTTTATTAAATAAATTATTTGCAATTGGTGTCAGAGGAAGAATTCATGATTGGTTCAAAAATTATCTATCAAATAGAAAACAATATGTTGAAGTGAGTGGTACTTAATGAACATCTCATGCGGGGTACCGCAAGGGTCAGTCTTGGGACCAGTTTTATTTTTGATCTACATAAATTCAATATCAAACTTGGAATTGAGAGGAAAACTTGAATTATTTGCAGATGACACGACATTGATTTATTTCTCTAAAGATTCAATCTAATATTATCATGGACATGAAAAGTGATTTAGAGAAAATATCCTCTTGGTTACAAGTTCATAAACTATCTCTCAATCATAACAAATCATTATATATGTATATAGCAAAAAGAACATTGAACATTTCAAATAGAACACTATCCTTCAACAATAAACTCATCAAATATACAGATGTTACAAAATTTTTAGGTCTTTATATTGATGAACGACTATTGTGGAATAAACATATAGATCATTTGAGGAACAAACTTAATCCTATTACAGGCATTTTATTCAAAATACGAAATTTCATTTCTACCAGATACTTGAAGAGTATTTATTTCTCTCTTATTCACTCAAAATTTCAATACTTAATATCTATATGGGGAAGTACCAATATTTCACGTTTGAGTCCACTAATGAAATTACAAAATAAAACATTGAAGTGTATTTTCAATTTAAATTTTCTCGAACCAACCATGAATTTATACAAACCTAAAGCTTTATTAGATCTGACATCACTATATAAACTCAAAATATGTTGTTTTATTCAATTTGTCCTATATAAATTGAAAATTTCGAATTTAAATTTCAATGAAATCAATTAATTACATAATCATGGAACAAGACAATCAAATTTACTAATAGCAAATACGTTCAAGTCAAATATCGGCAAACAATCAATTTTTCACACAGGAATCGTTCTATACAACTCATTACCAAGTCAATTGAGGAATATACAGGAAGCAACTAGATTCAAAATTAACTTAAAAAAATATCTGCTTCAGAGACTTTGATAATTCCATTTAGTATTTGAATACCTACTTATAAAAGACTAGGTTGATATTGCATGATTATTTGCATTTTTTTTTTACTTGTTATATCTTATTATAATTTCATAATTGTATGTATAACACTATGTATATTGTTTATGTATCCCTATTATAAACAACTATGTTTCTTGGGGTAATAATAAAGACAATCAATCAATTTCACAAACTTAACACAATGGAAGAGCAAGTTCTGATTACGTCACTCTCACGGGTGAAATGATCTGAACTTGAATTCTGCCGTTTGATAGGTATACAGTTCTCAGCTCTCTATCATTTTTCATTTATTTTGTATTAACCTATACCTGTCAATAAAATCCATTATTATTATTATTATTATTATTAAAAAAACTTCCTCATTTTCGGGGCCCTTTCACTTTTTCACTTAATTTTTGGTATGAATTTTTTCTATTACGATTATAAATGTCGAGTCAGTCAGATCTACTTCTTTGGTATCCAGTTACTTTGATTGCAACAACATGGTTACCCTGACTTGATGCTACAGCATCACCTCACACGCCTGACTCATTGCTTGTTGCTTTTATTGAAATGATCTCAATGAATAGGTTATAGTTTTAGATGTGACCATCCAGGTTGAAAAAAAAATGTTGTGCGTGCTCCTAGTGGATTCAGGCCCCCTAGGCAGTTGCCTGGTCCGCCTATAATGGATCATCTGGCCCTGTATGAAAGCGGAAAAAACTTTCTCATTTTCAAGCTCTACAAAACAGCTTCGAGAGATTCTCCGCACGACATTTCGTTTCGTAGTAACCATCATCAACTTTTCCCCCTGATATACTTATACACATCCTTATCTTGGACAGACTGTATACTTCAACCTTCCCCAAAGGAATCGCACCTTCTAGAGGTTCAAGTGACTGGATATCTCAATAATACTGTTCCTTACCATGATTCTGTTGGCAGTGTCACAATGTTGGCCAGTTGTGATTGTGCGTATGGTACCGTTCCCCATTTTGGTAGAATGTTTCATAATGGAACCACGTATTTTCACGTACAGGTACTTGTTGGGTGCTGGGATAATAACACGAGGATTGAATTCGCAGTTTGCCTGAAATGAAAAAAAAATGCATAGTGAATTTGTGGCAGCAAAAATAGTTATTTATTATACAAGGGAAAAAAGTAGTAGATTTTAGCTCCAGGTTGTGTTGTCTCCCGACGCGTAGCGGAGGGAGACAAAAAACCGTGAGCTAAAATCTAATATTTTTCCCGTGTATACTACACTATTTTTTTCTGTGACAGAAGGAAGTACGAATCAATATTGAGAAGATATTACATTATTTCGAAATCTGAAAATTATCGACGTGAAATTTCAAGTTTTTAACAGTAGGGACACCTGCGTTTTATAGACATCTTTATCATTCTTTTGAAGTAATCAAATATCTGATGTCACTTCTGTCAGTTCAATTCTGTGATTTGATTTTAAGAAATTGCGAATTCAGTAGTTGTTTAGTAATATACGAAACCGCGAAGTCGAATGGAAGATAAAAGGACTTGCAGTTCTTTCTCGGAGACGGTATTATTGACTCATTTTTCGGAACTATAGCACAACAAAAGCCATTAACAGAGAATATATATATGATATATATCCGGGAAAGAAGTACTCACTTTTTTCCCACGGGAAAAAAGTAATTTATGAAAAGTGACATTTTATAACCTGCCAACAGAGATGAAATGCCAAACTTTTTTCCCGTCACAGAAAAATAGTTATTTATACAACAAAAATATACAGGGTGAGTCATTAGTGTGGCAAAGTGAGATAACGGCTTTACTGTTTGAGATAGATGGACAAAAATTTCAGAGATGTTCTAGGTTCATGAGCAGCACATTTCCAAATTATTTCGCTTTATGGAGGGTGACTCAGAAATGCGTGGCGTATCAAAGTTATACTTTTTCATGAGGAACACCCTGTATTTCATTGCATTTTCGCATTCTCCTTCGTGAGCTGATTTCATCAATGCATCACACTTGGGGTCTAGCGAGAATGATTACAGAGATAAAGGGTGTTCAAAATCGAGATTTTTCAACTTTAGGAGTCTTTAGCGTCGAAACTATTCATTATTGGTCAAAACGGCTTCCATGTCCCTATTCCAACTTTCGATTTACTATCTACTGACATTCAATTGGAACAAATACAGGGTGGTTCAAAATTCAGCATTCTGATCACCCTTGTATCTGTTCCAATTAAATGTCAGTAGATAGTAAATCAAGAGTAAGGATAGGGACATGGAAGCCGTTTTGACCAATAATGAATAGTTTCGACGCAAAAAAAATCCTAAAATTGAAAAATCTTGATTTTGAATACCCTTTATCTCTGTAATCATTCTTGCTAGACCCCAAGTGTGATGCATTGATGAAATCAGCTCACGAAGGAGAATGCGAAAATGCAATGAAATACAGGATGTCCCATAAGAAAAAGTATAACTTTGATACGCCACGCATTTCTGAGTCACCTTGTATAAAGCGAAATAATTTGGAAATGTGCTGCTCATGATCCTTGATCATCTTTGAAATGTTTGTTCATCTATCTCAAACAGTAAAGCCGTTATCTCATTTTGCCACACTAATGACGCACCCTGTCTACAGGGTGGGCCACCAGTAACGCCTCGGTCTCTAGAAAGCTAAACACATATCTTCTTGGAATTCTTCCTCTCTAGGAAGATGCATGTCAACATAAGCTACCATTCAAAATTATTTCGAAACATACAGGGTGTCCCCAAAAACCATAAAACACTGAAGTTAAACTTTTTTCTATCGAACACCCTATATATTATTTCATTTTGAGATTCTCCCTGGTGAGCTGATTTCAACGACCCATCATACTTGGGGTCTAGCAGTTATAATTACTGAGATATAGGGTGTGAGAAATCGAGATTTTCCAAGTTCAAGAATTTTTTGTGTCTAAACCATTCATAATTGGTCAAAACGGCTCACATGTCCCTATCTCAACTTTTGATCAACTATCTACTGACATTTAATTGAAACAAATACAGGGTGGTGCAGAATTCAGAATCTTGATCACCCGGTATATGTCCCAATTAAATATCAGTAGATAGTTAATCAAAAGTTGAGATAGGGACATGTGAGCCGTTTTGACCAATTATGAATAGTTTCGACACAAAAAATTCTTGAACTTGGAAAATCTCGATTTTTCACACCCTATATTTCAGTAATTATAACTGCTAGACCCCAAGTATGATGGGTCGTTGAAATCAGCTCATCAATCAGGGAGAATCTCAAAATGAAATAATATATAGGGTGTTCGATAGAAAAAAGTTTAACTTCAGTGTTTTATGGTTTTTGGGGACACCCTGAATGTTTCGAAATAATTTCAAATGGTAGCCTATGTTGACATGCAACTTCCTAGAGAGAAAGAATTCCAAGAAGATAAGTGGTTAGCCTTCTAGAGACCGAGGCTTTACTGGTGGCCCACCCTGTATAGAGATATTATTTTTTGCACGCACAATGGCAAAAGGGATTTTATTTTTCCAGATCCATTTCTGCATTAAAATGAAAAACAGTTCATTATCACGCTTTCTGATGCAAACGTCAAATCTTTTCTCTATATTATTTCAGTCATAGACCAGGGTCGGTAATTTCTAAAATTTTTCAAAATTATAGTTTGATGAAACCAATTGGAAAAAGGAGAGGATATAACAATGAACCACAATGAACAGTGGAAATAGCTATTCATATATCAAGGGAGGAAAGATACCCATTTCCTCCCGCGTGTGATGTTTGATGCACGACGCGTAGTGGAGGGTATTAAACACACATGGGAGGAAATGAACCTTTGCTCCCATGAGCTACATGATTTTATCAACCAACGCATTTTTTAATGGATCGTTCTTGATATTGTGCTTCAGGCGGTCTATCTCTTGGTCCAAATCATTAGGCATTACAAACATAGTATGCTATGTAGAGAGGCCTACTCGGCAGAAAAAAAAACTTGCTACCCCAATTCCCACTTCATCCTTGATGAGGGAATCTCTGATTTACAGAAGTAAGCAGGTGTACAATCATTCACCAACGGAAATTACAAGTATAAATGATATGAAACACTTCAAAAATAAAGTTAAAAAACTTCTCAAAGGGAAATGTTTTTATACCTTAGAGGAATACTTAGCTTATATAGGTTCTAGTCCTGCCATGTGAAGTGAACTGTGGTATATCTTCTTGTTTTTCATAAATGTAAAACCTTTATATTGTTGGTCAGCCACGTCAATACGTAAATGTGTCTCGTCATTTATATTATTATTTTATTTTATTCGTAAATTTATTTCTTACAGCAGGTATATACAGGGTGTTTCATAGGTAAAGGGAAATATTTCAATGGTAGATCGGGGTCACCAAGGTGGTTCTGAAAATACCATATTTGATAGGTCTTAGAGTTTTCGTAACGGAGATACAGGGCGATTTATCGATTTCGAATAATTATTCATTCGTCTATAAGTATTGAACTACCCAGTATATTTTTCTAAAATTTGGTATGGAGCTCAAACTTGGGACGTTGAATGCATTCACTTATCGGGCGAAGTGAAAATCCAGGTTCGGCTTCAGGAAAAATTTACATTTATTCGGAATATTAAAATAACACACTGTATGTAATAATTGACAAAGTTCATCAAAGGAATCGTGAAAAGGAGGAAAAACTGAACTGGATTTGATGCTTCTTGTTTTCCCGCCACCAATTCTCATCGTAACAATCATAAACAGGAAGCTAAAAGTATGTCAATTTCAAGAGTATCAAAATTATGAAACCACTTTCAATTATGATTATTTGATATATTCTTGTTAAATGATCGTTCGAAAGAACTTACTCAGTCTCACAGTCTTTATAACAGAGATACAGGGCGAAATATCACTCGTCCATAAGTATTAATAAACTACCCATCGCAGTAATATCTTCTCAAATTTGGTATTGAGCTTACTTGGGACGATGAATTCATTGACCTATCAGGCAGAATGGAAATACAGGTTCAGCTTCAGGAAAAGTCTCATATTCTTCATAACAGAAGAATATCGAATTATAATTCCGCCTGATAGGTTAATGAATCCATCGTCCCAAGTAAGCTACATACCATATTTGAGAAAATGTTACTGGGTTTTTTTATACTTATGGACGAGTGAATGATTATTCAAAACCGATAATTCACCCTGTATCTCCGTTATAAAAACTGTGAGACTTAGTAAGTTCTTTCGAGCGATTTTTTGACTAAAATATATCGAAAAATCATAATTGACACTGGTTTCATAATTTCAATACACTTCAAATTGACATATACTTTCAGCTTTCTGTTTATGATTGTTACGATGAGAATTAGTGGCGGGAAAACAAAAAGCATCAAATCTAGTTCAGTTTTCCCTCCTCTTTACGATTCTTTTGATGAACTCTTTCAATTATTACAAACAGTGTGTTATTTCAATATTTCGAATAAATGTGAATTTTTCCTGAAGCCGAACCTGGATTTTCTCTTCGCCCGATAGGTGAATGAATTCAACGTCCCAAGTTTGAGCTCCATACCAAATTTTAGAAAAATATACTGGGTAGTTCAATACTTATAGACGAATGAATAATTATTCGAAATCGATAAATCGCCCTGTATCTCCGTTATGAAAACTCTAAGACCTATCAAATATGGTATTTTCAGAACCACCTTGGTGACCCCTATCTACCATTGAAATATTTCCCTTTACCTGTGAAACACCCTGTATATTGTTGGGTGGACTTCTATTTTGACTTTGTCGACAAAATGAAATCATTTTAGACAATAAAGCATATTTGATTTCATTTGATTATGGACAATTGACGGCATTTGAACGGAAGTCAGCTTGACACTTCAGTCATCATGAATTAATTGATTTGTATATTGTGTAACCTCATTTCGAAGTTTTGATCAGAAGTACGTTCGGAATATGCAGAAAATGATATTATAATTTTTTATATAATAGTATAGACACTGATTACTTGGATTACACAGATTTTATAGGTATATCGACGCTAAGGGATCCATGCTGAAGCCAAGTCATTTCACCTAAATTTGTCTACTT